TAAAAAAAATCTCACTGTGTTTATACATGAGGCAAATGAATCTATTTTTGTCTGTAGGGCTCCTGTAACACATTACAACAAACTGTGTGGCTTAAAACATTCTCTCACAGTTATGAAGGCCCAGAGTTTGAAATCAAGTTTAATTTTTGGCTATGATGCAATTCCTCCATAAACTCTAGAGCAGTGGTTCTCAACTTTCCTAATGTCGCGACCCTTTAATACAGTTCCTCGTGTTTTGGTGACCCCAACCATAAAATTATTTTCGTTGCTACTTCATAACTGTAATGTTGCTACTCTTATTAATTGTAATGTAAATATCTGATATGCGGGATGTACTTTCATTGTTACAATTGAACGGTTGTTCAACCGCCAAAGGGGTCGCAACCCACAGGTTGAGAATCGCTGCTCTAGGACATCAAATAGCCCAAATTTCTCGCCATTGCAGTGGCCACACCCATTCTGCCATTCTGGCCAATGACCTGTTTCCCAGGTGTGACTGACAGCAAGCACGGTCACTGGGCATGCATCTATTCCCACCCTCGACCCCCACTCTCCTCCCCTGCTATTGAGGACCGCGTTCATTACAGGGGCACCAGCTGCTGGGTGACCACTTAGGGAAGCACTGACTGTGGGAAGAAGCAACCCAGTGGGAGAACGGCCCGCCCCTCCCAGGACTGTGCAGGTCCGTGACCCTTATTATCAGAATCTAGCCAGAAAGATCTAAGACCATGAAAAATTGGCATTTTAATGTAGAGTTGGGCAAACTCTTTCTTAAACTCATCAAAATTTTCAGGTTCTACACTATGCTATTAAGTTCATACTACGACCTATTTTATGAATTTATTTTCTTTCTCTTTTTTTTCAGGCTGAAAAGAATGCTTATTTTGCATTTTATAAACTCTCAGCCACACATTTCATGTTATTGTTTTCTGTGGCACCAGCAAAACCTGAGTAATTCCCCCCCCCCAAAAAAAAAAATTTCCCCTTGTAACATCTTTGCAGCAAAATGAGATATTACATGAATAGGTTTCTCTAATCCTGGTAGATTGTATTTTAAATAAATAAATACAAATCTTCCAGTAACTAAAGAAAGTAAAATCCACAGATTTCTAAATAATTTCCCAGGAACAAATGATTACTAGAAAATTACTGAAAGATCCTATTAAAATATATGGATGATGAGTAATAAGTACTTGGATAGCTTTACTAGACTTGTAGTAACATAAAAACTAATTATAATCCTAATTCAATCTCTGTATACTATTGTAGTTATAATGCAAATAAAGGAATTAACATATTTTATATTGTAAACATAATCCTGCAATCACTGAGAATAAATAAATGGATATAATAATTTCTCACTTTTTCTAAAATTGCAATTTAGCACTGCTGAATTAAATGAGGTTGTTAAAATATTTCCATTTGCATTAATTTACCGCTTCTAAATTACTGTCTCAATCTGAAATATTCCTCTTATTCCTTAGAGACTTCAACTGGATTTCTAGCCACCCATCTGCCTGTCCTGGCAAAGAAGTTCCACAAAATGATTATCCCTGCCCTGAGGTAGTTAAATATATATTAGCTATTATAAAAATACAATTATGTGTCCAAATAAACAGCCAGCTTCTTATCACTAGGGAGTTTAGTGTTAAGACAAATAGTATATAATTTGCAAAGGGACCTGCTAAAAAATGGAAAAAGAGATACTGTTAAACTGATATACAGCTTGATAATAATATCTGGGGGTAGAAGTGGCCAAATTATCTCCACAATTTCACTGAGAGTCAGAAGATAAGAATGCCAGCACTGATAAATAAGCGGAGATGTGTGATTTAAAATTCTGTGTTATCACATGAGAAAGGAATATTAACTGTCCCTAGTAAAGTAAACAAATCCTAGTTGTTTTGTTTTTTGTGTTTTAGTTTTAGGGTCTCAAATATTCACGTTTAGAAAGAAGAACCTTAGTCATTATAAGGTTTACCAGATGCAGCAGGTTGACTCTGAAAAACAATACACTGATTTTAAACAATGGTAAACTTGTCAAGGATGCTGCATTCCAAGAGCAACTTGCCCAGATTCTGACAGTCCATGTTCCTCTGAGCCAAGAGCTACCATATCCACCCACCCAATTCCTGAATGGAAGCAAACTTGTACCATTTGTAGAAGAGGTTGTCTAAATTGGGATGAGATTTGTTGAATTACTCAAAGAGATGTTCTCATTCACTAATGTTAACTAGTTAACTGACACGATATTTTGAATTTAATTTAAAAAGGTCCACCGCTTGCATCTATAGATGCTTATGGTTTACAAATGGTTGAGGAGAGAGGAGTCACCAAAAAACCCTAGCAGTGTATGAGTCCAGCTCAGAGTTATGCAACTCCCAACCAAGATGAGTGTGAGTTTCTTTGGCAATTCATTTCTAGTTTAAACTCCCTCAGGAGAATATGATTCCCAATTGGTACGTCACAAACTGCAGAATCAATTAACATTTCTCTAAAATATATACATCTAAAATACATAATTTTGTCATATATAAATGCACGTATATTGTATATACGATCCACTTTAGAAAATTTGAGATATTCAGATCAAAAAAATTATTTTATTTATTAAAAACTGATAAAATATTGTGGTAGCCCAGTCTCATCCATGTCCCTATGACCTGAGAAGTTTTCTAGGTTTTAGTTTCTTCATATCAAGTTTTGAAATTAAATGGTTATTTTTCCTTCTATGCAATCACCAATCTCTGGGAAGGCCAATTATCCAAGGCAATTCAGGAGAGGTAAGGAAAATAAACATCAGTAAGACTGATCTTCCTATTGATAAAATTCCTTAAGGATACTCATTCTAATCAGCTTCTCCTTGTCCCTCAGGTTAAAGGAAAATAGCTGAGTTTCTCCATAGGGAATGAACATTCTCTGAAAATGCCAAGAGAAAAAGTTCCAAGATTAAAGCATGCTAGTGCAAAATTAGTGACAGAAATAAGGATGAAAAAAAAAACCCAACAACAAAAAAAAACCCTCTTCTTCTTCTCATAGACATTACAAAGGAAGTTCAGCATCAGTGGCTACTTCCCCAGGCTCACACTAAAAGCCTGGTCTCTGCATCAGCTGCACTAACATCATCATGGAGAGATTTTTGACATTGAACTCCGTTTTCTAAGCTCATAAATCTGAGCTCACTTTTGGTTGTGGAGCCTATTGTGTGCCTCATGCTAAACACTTCCCAAACATTCGCTTCTTATCTGCAAAGGTACTTCCTCCTAGAAACAGGACCTAGCTGCTTACATGCACTTAGGTTTGTATCCTTATTATTAATTTCCATAGTACCAGTCTTATAGCACTAAATACACAGTGCTGTAAATGTCTGTTTACTATTTTATTTTATATGCTACAGTAGACCATATATTTCTTGGGACAAAATGCCATACTGACCTTACTCATTATTATATGCTAAGTCAAATTAATTATGGATGACATATGTAATTAATAGAAATAATAAATATTGGTTGGACAATTTTAAAAAGGAGAGTACAATAAAAAGATTATAAGATTAGGCAAAACTGAAAGCTAATAAAAAATAAAAGAAACATACAAAAAACTATACAGAACAAAGTTGATTACACCATAATACAGTATAATAAAATAAACAAATACATGAAATGCTATTACTAGTAAAAGAGAAAATAAATGAAAAACAAAACAATAAAAATGAAATTCAAAAGTCTGTATCAAATTTATTGCTAAAATTCCAATAAAATATTTTGAATTGAACACTTAAAAGTTTAGTCCAGCCAGCATGGCTCAGTGGTTGAGCATCGAGCCATGAACCAGGAGGCCATGGTTTGAATCCTGGTCAGGGCATATGCCCAGGTTGTAGCCTCAATCCCCAGTATGGGGCATGCAGGAGGCAGCCGATCAATGATTCTCTCTCATCATTAATGTTTCTCTTTCTCTCTCCCTCTCCCTTCCTCTCTGAAATCAATACAAATATATTTTTAAAAGTTTATCAGATTCTAAAATATGATAAAAATTTTAAAACCAGCAAGGTGAAAAAATAAGATGTGGTAGATGCAAATCAATGATATGAGATACAGTATATTATTTAAATGCAAAATGGAAATATGTGTATATATATATATATATATATACACTTCAAATTTAACAAATTAGTAGCAATTTTTAAGTTTATCTTTTTACTGATGATAGTATTATAGATAATTCCTTTTAAAATTAATACTTAAGCCCTGGCTGGTTTGGCTCGGTGGATAGAGCATCGGTCTGCGAACTGAGGGGTCCCAAGTTCGATTCCGGCTGAGGGCACATGCCGGGGTTGCGGGCTTGATCCCTCCCACTGGGGGGGCCGTGCAGGAGGCAGAAGGTCGGTGATTCTCTCTCGTCATTGATGTTTCTCTCTCTATATCCCTCTCCCTTCCTCTCTGAAATCAGTAAAAATATAAAAAAATAATACTTAATAAGTTAAATTGTCAAAGAGAGAGAAAAGTTACTTGAGGAGACTACAAATTAGAGTCTCCAAAAGCAGCATTTTTTTGCCAGTGGGAATATTTTTTTGTACTTAGTTATCATCATCTTTATGGCTGTGAAAAGTAACAGTTGATTTCAGACTTGAGTTTCCCTGATTTCTTCTTTAGATACCATTACTAATACAAACTTTATAGTTTGTTTTTAAGAGAAAATAGATGGATTTATATCTATTCAAAAATAGAAAAAAATGCTTGTTTGAAAGTGCTAACTGTCATAATTTGGATCTCTTTTTTTTTTTCCCTGCAGCCACTGAATTATGAGAAAAAGAAGTCCTACACTCTCAACATAGAAGGAGCAAATACACACCTTGATTTTCGCTTCTCTCACTTGGGTCCCTTTAAAGATGCCACCATGCTGAAGATCATTGTCGGGGATGTGGATGAACCACCTCTATTTTCCATGCCCTCCTACATCATGGAAGTCTATGAAAATGCCAAGGTTGGAACTGTTGTTGGTGCAGTTTTGGCACAAGATCCTGACAGTGCTAATAGCTTAGTAAGGTAAGGTATGCTTCAAAATTTTAGACATCTACATATTTTGTGTCATAGTAATTTAAAATTTATAAAATAATACTTAAATATGTTATATCTATGTTATTGTTCTATTATTAGAATTAAATTATATTACTGATGTTTTATCTGAGTCATGTAGTAGATGGGTTTCTGTCAAATGAAGAATATATGTAGCTATATCTATGAGTATATTTTTGACCACACAGATTAGATTTTCCACTTGTCTTAATAGGTATGAATATAACTGACTGGAAACATTTATAGAAATGAAGTTGAGAAACCTTGATCTCTTAGTGATAGGGAATTCAGATACAGCACAAAAGGGCAGAGGGTTGGGAATAAGGCTTATCTGCCTCCAGGTTCTGACACAATAGCTGTGTTCCTTTAGGAAGCATCCACCCTTACCTGTAAAAGAAGAAAAGGACTCTCTATGTCTCAGGTATTAGGAGAAAGAATTAAGCATTGTGTATAAAGTGCTAAGCAGAGTGGCCTGCACCTAGTAGTCACTTAATAAATGTCCAAAGCTGCCTAGAATGCTCACTTAGAGACTAGATGCTGACACTATAGGACAGCATGTGGGAATTCTGGAGTCTTGATGGACTAGTTGTGTGATCTGATATAGTTATTCAACCTTGGAATGTAAATTCTAAATATATGAACAAGGAATAATAATACTGCATAAATATGCTAGAATTAGATTACATTGATACAAAGTAATTAGCACAGTCAGTAAGTGCTCAGTAAATATTTTATTATGTTAGTATGTCATGCAGTGGAGATTATTAAAATGTTCTTGTATAATCAGAAAGATTTTTTTTTTGCTCTCAATTATAACAAAATCAAAGACTGTATACATGTAGGAGAGTCTTAAGTTACCCTGAATTTATACCTTTGGCTAATCCTAAGGCCTTAGGAAGTTGGAAAGTCTTAATAAATCTGTCAGCTTTTCCCCATATTTATTCTGATTCCCTGAGTTCTCATCTACTTTTTAAATTGTTTTTAATGTTTTTTATTGATTTTTTAGAAAGAGAGGAAGGGAGGGGGATAGAGAGACAGAAACATTGGTGAGAGAGGAACATCATCAATCACATCATCAGCCTGCTGCCTCCTGCATGCCCCCTACTGGGGATCAAGCCTGCCACCCAGGCATGTGCCCTGACCAGGAATCAAACCTGCAACCTCCTGGTTTCTGCTCAACCATTGAGCCGCACCTGGCAGAGCGAGTTCTCGTCTATTTTAACAAAAGCTAATAGAGTAACCATTTCCGTTGGTATCTACATAAGGCTTGTAAAGGCTCTCAATTTCCTTTTATGTAAGAATGATTGTTTCAGCTTAAAAACAGAAGTCCACAGTACCCCGGCATGGAGAGAACCAATGTTATGTGCACAAATGTATGTATTCAACAATCCTGCTTCATCTGTGAGTGTAGGAGTACCCTGTCAACTGGTACCCTCTCTCACACTGAGAGCAAGAGCTGGACACTGCTTGAAGAAGCAGGACGGGCAAGTACACAAAATAGTATGCATTAGCCCAGTTATAGAAATCGATATGTAAGGGATGGAAGTAGGAGACAGCATAATTAGTTTTCCAACCAGAGAAAAACCTACTATGCTCCAGCATTACATAGAATGCCATCTATATATACAAAAGCCTCAGTGACCAAACAACCGGTCGACCACTTGCTATGACATGTACTGACCTCCAGGGGAAAGATGCTCAATGCAGGAGCTGCCCCCTGGTGGTCAGTGTGCTCCCACAGCAGGAGTGCTACTCAGCTGACCCATGGGCGCCAGATGCAGGGTTTGTGGCCGTCCACTGCAGCCTGGAGACCTCCGTGGAGCTGCAGCGAGCCTACTGAGCGTGGCAGCGGCAGGTGCAGTGGGGCCGGGTTGGGCAGGAGTGGCAGGTGGCATTACGCGGCCGGTTTTGGCCTGATCCCTGCGGGCTACGCCGAGGGACCCCACAAGTGCATGAATCCATGCTCTGTGTCTCTAATATTTAAATGACACTTCTGATACTTAACAGTAAGTATAATTTGTTCAACTATATTAAAAACTGTAGCAAAATAAATGATATTTGCAAATGTGGCCCATCTACTACAAAAGGAGCCAACACCTTTGAGAATAAAAATATTTTATGCTATTAGTTTCACGTAAAGTATTTGATAAACTTTAGTAAGGCTTTTTTTTAATATTAAGATGCTAATAATGTAGTCTATACCTTTTAATTAAAAGAGGTGTGAGGTACATTCAGTTTTAAAAGATATTTAAAGCACCTTATTTGGTTATTACAATAGTCCTTATAATAAAGAAATTAGCGCATGCACACACAGCAGCTGCAGTTTGAAGTCCAGTGGAGAGATAAACTTGAAAAAATTGCATTCTTTGATAGGGTGATAAAGATATGAAGGTGTGCATGGAAAGAAAGCGTGCACAAAATCTTATAGACATAATGAGTTGAAGATTGTAAGGTTCAAAACTCAGGTTAAGGATGAGACAGATGAAGAATAGAGAAAATCTATGTAGTTTTGTGTATATGAGGAGCATAGGTTATCCGTGTGTGAAGGGCAAGTGCTGAGATTGTAGAAAGAAGCGAGGCAGAGACCATGAAAAAGGCTTTGTGCTGACATCTTTGAAATTTATCCTGCAGCAATATCAAAGGGAGAGAGAAGAAAAGACAAAATCTGAGCCATTATGAGTGATGGTGAGGAGATTTGCAATTCAAAATAAATAATAATGAATTTTTTAAATGCTATGAAGAGTGGCATCTATGTGCCCAAAGGGTAGGTCAGAGGAAGAAACATTGAGGTCAGAGAGAAACTTCTTTCACTGTTGCTCTGTAGATGCCAACATATCCCAAAGCATCTATTCCACATGGCACAGTGTCTCTCATGCCGTTTCCCCACTAGAGGACATTTGACAATGTCTCAAGGCATGTTTGGTTGTCACAACTGGATGAGGAACGCTAGTTACCTCTGAGTAGAGACCAGGGATGATGCTCACAACCAAGAATTATCTGGTCCAAAATGACAGTAGTCTGAGGTTGAAAAACCCTGATACAAAGGAAACTAAACTGGTTGGTCCATTGGTAAAACTGGAGTGCTAATTACACTCTTGGAAAGAGTTTTTGAAAAGAGATTTTTGGTGTTTCTAGTTTCTTGGGATACCAATTAGAAAGGATATATGCACCCCTGTGTTCATAGCAGCACAATTCACCATAGCTAAGATTTGGAAACAGCCTAAGTGCCCATCAATAGATGAATGGATTAAAAAACTGTGGTACATCTACACAGTGGAATACTATGCCGCGGTAAAAAAGAAGGAGTGCTTACCATTTGCAACAGCATGGATGTAACTGGAGAGCATTATGCTAAGTAAAACAAGCCAGTCAGAGAAAGATAAATACCACATGATCTCACTCATTTATGGAATATAATGAACAACATAAACTGATAAACAAAAACAGATCTAGAGAAATAGAAGCATTGATCAGACCATCAAACCACAGAGGGAAGGTATGAAGGGTCGGGGTAAGGGGGGAGATCAACATAAGGACTTATATGCAAGCACATAGGCCTAACCAATGGACACAGATTACAGGGGGGTGAGGGCATGAGGGAGGGGAGCATGCGAAGTAATATGGGGATAAGGAAACATATGTAATAACTTAATCAAAAAAGAAATTAAAAAACAAAAAATGAACTATAGAGATAATAAATAGTCAAATAAATAAACACAATAGAGATAATGACATAAAATTAGGTTTCAACCCATCCTCCTTTTAACTTCCAGCATAATGCACATTTCTTCCTCCAATTAGAGGTTTGCTTGTTTTCACTGGTTTCAAACCCTATGATTTTATTTATCTCAAGAGATATCATAAATTTTCTAATAATTTTCCAAACAACACACTCTATTTCAATATGTACTATTTGTAGTTCTAAAATATGGGTTCCATAGAAACCACTGTTGAGTTTTGGAAGGCTATCACAATTACCAAAAAAAAAAAAAAAATTAAAATCATTCATTGGAAACAATCATAACAGAGCAAGCACATCTTTTGGAATTACTTTTAAAAAAACAGTGGTTAAAATAAAATCTTGCCTGTTACTTGGGAAATATATTATGGGCTATTTTAATATTTGTTTGGGACAATTTATATGGGTATATGCATAACTCATGGACACAGACAATAGGGTGGTGAAGGCCTGCGGTGGGGGAGGGGGTGGACTAGAAGGGGCCAATGGGGGAAAAGGGGACATATGTAATACTTTCAACAATAAAGATTTTAAAATTAAAATTAAAAAATTTTAAAAAGAGAAAAGAGAGTTTTGGGAAATGTATACCAGTGAGTATGTTTCAAATACATTCACAGCCATGTAATATTTCAACCTATACATTTTTAAATAAAATAAATAATTTATAATGAATTGTCCCATGATATTATTAACTGCCTCAGTAATTGCTCTGTACTATTAGGAGCATTAATCGAACACCGCCATGTTAATTGAACATCCCACTTGTTCGGATGCAAAGATGATTGGTGTATTGACTCCAAATGCTAATATTGAGAAGCAAATCTATTAGCATATGCATTATCCTTTCTGCTTTGTTTTGGTTAGACAACCAAAATAAATCCTTCTAAAGCTACCTTAAAATAATTAGATTCCTTAGCTGCTTTTGCAAGGTATAATTTACATAATATTTATTCTTGATTTCAATAAAAGTATGTCATTCATATGGGCCTCTGGCTGCAAACAGTGAATAAAAAACAGAAAACATTAACAAACACAAAAGCAAACCTTATACTTCCACCTTTCTTAGGGACGAAACATTTGTACTAATTAAGGAAAAGCACAGTGAAAAGATGTACCTTGCCATGTGCCCTGAAATGCAATTAACTCCAAGTCTGTAGAATTGATAATGAAAGGGAGTTTGAGTCTTACAGGCATCTGTGAAAAGCTTCCTGACTTCAGTCTTTTGTATTTC